AGAATTATTACCCACAATTTCTGGCGACATTTTGTGTGCCTATATTGTTTATTCCACAGACAAATTCAACAGTAGACATTAATATTTAATCTTCCCTGCACCTTGGCTTTAGTTAACTGTAAACTCCTGGGAGTTAGGTATCTTGTTTGTCATGAAGTTTTTGAGGGAACTTGCCACAAATGGTGGTCTTAGTTTAAGCAGGGAGGGGGGAAAAGAAAAGGAGAACAAGGTTGTATTTATGTGTGATTTCTCTGGCCTTTAAAAAAGTAGTATTGGTAATTCATTTCCCAGTGGTTGAATTCATTTCCTAGTATTGGTAATTCATGGTTGAAAAGATTAGCATTTTCAAATATGGTGCTATGTTTCTGATGTGGAAAATGTGAATCAATTTTATTTGCACAGATCATCTGACTTGTATTATGCAGGAAAACAAATATGTGCTTCATGAGTAAATATAAGGTGACCACCTTTTTACAATGAAAAGGACACAAATAAATTGAAGAAAAAAAAAAACAAAGTCACTTGCGTGCGGCGCACTGTCTCAAAACAATTCTCCTGTGTGGAGTGCATGCATCTCATAATCGCGTCTCGCCGCATTGTACCTAGCCTTGACGAATCGTCATGTCAAATACAAATACGTCACATCACACACAACAGATTGGATCAGCATTGATCAAATACAGAGAATTACAGATTAGTCTTCAAATATCAAAAAAGGAGGACATGTAGGAGGACACTTTTTGAGAGAGGACAGAAGTTACAAAAGGAGGACTGTCCTCCCTAAAGGAGGACGGTTGGTCACCTTAGTAAATAGCAACAGTAATAGCACTTAAATTTACGTTCATCTTCATAGTACTTTGCTCTAAATGGTCTACAGAGTCAGAATATTGTCCCCAATAATCTGGCTTCTCCTTGGAAGAATGGAAGGCTGTGTCAAACTTGAGCCCAGTCAGGATCAAACTTCTGGCAATGAGCTGAATTAGCCTGCAATATTGCACTATGCCACCATAGCTCCTACGTAAAGAGAAAACTATTTAGCATGTAGTGATAATTAGATCTCTACCCCAAGAACAGATTTAGCATCAGGATGCTTACAGTGCTTATAAAGACACGTAGCATTATGAGTCTATTTCTTATTGGTTTAACTTGTGCTTTTGCGTCATATGATTAAATTTTATATTTTCACACATACAAAGGCTCTTTGTCCCTATACAATCTGTTAAAGCACTAACTAGTCACTTTTCTTTTCTAGAATGTCCTGACAGTGTATGGAAGTTGTTGTTTTTTTTGCTTTGTTTCATTGTACATGACCTGTCTGTTTAGAGATCATGGAAGGGAGCTTCTTATTGATGCTGACAATGGCATCTCCCAGGCAAGGCTAAATTGTAGTTCCTCATCTTTTGCTTTCTCCTAGTGCATCTTTTCATCACTGCTTTCCACAGTCAGCACACCTTTCCCCATACAACCCCCTTTCTCTGTGGGTCTTCATCCTCCCTCCCATGGTCTATAACTATTACAGTATCCAATTAAGAGGTTTTTCACCACTATTAAAGGCATCCGGGTAGAGATATCTGCTGGCCACCATCTCATTCCGAGGAGTAAGTTAGCCTAATTCCATTTCAGGGCTGGGGTTGGAGTTGCAAGATTTCACAGAACCCTTCTTCTACTACTAAACAGTGCTGATGAGAGTTTACCATACCCCAGCTGGATCAAATCAGACCCACACTTTTTCTTTTTGGAAACGGGAAGCAAGGCATGGCAGAAGTTGGCTACTGCAGTGCTCATGGATTCCAGCTAGAGTGTAACGTACCTGGCTCTGTTTCAACCATCTCCCACATTCATCAGAGAAAGCACAGATGGCAAATGTGGCTGAGATTGATAAGAAAGGCTCTTGATATATTCTTGTCTGAGAGGCTCTCCTTCAGCCATGCCGTGCCTTCCATTTCAAGGTTGGCTTCCTGGCTTTCATCTACTGAAGAGAATTGGCTCAGACAAGATGGCAGCAGGATCCTTTGCAACTCTTCTTTTTGGATTCAGAGATGTGTTACCATCACAGAAGGAAAGGTAGTAAATATTACTTCCTCTTTCATCCATGGAGAATAGAATACAATTAATGTTAGGGGTCAGTCTTCTACCTGGGTGTGGATTTCTGTCCCTAAGATCTTCAGTCTTGATTCGGTTCCCAAGCCCTGATGGAACTTTCTCTTACTTGTTCCTCCTCCATGTTAGATTCCCTTGCTTTTTAATAATCCAAGTGCATCATGTACTTCCTCTTTTCATTATTTTCAAAAAGAAGGGCAGAAGCAGCATAATATTTCAGGGATTCCTGGTTCTACCTAGTTTGAAACTTATGTATAACTTGTTGATAATTTTAAAAAATCATGCAAGTCACATGATTTTGCAGCATATATCCACCTCTGATTCCTAACAGATTTAGTGGGAAAGACTTTCTGAATGGAAATTGTAAACCCTGAAATTTAATAGGCCTGGAACTGTTATTATTGTAATATACTGAGTTTCAGGAAAGACTGAGTATAAACTCAGCTTGAAGCAGATTGGTTGCTCAGAAGGAATTCCCTTTCCCTTTCCCTTCCTTTCCTTTCCTTTCCTTTCTTCTCCTCTGCTCTCCTCTCCTCTCCCCTTCCCTCCCTCCCTCCCTTCCCTTTTCCTTTCCTTTCCTTTCTTCTCCTCTGCTCTCCCCTTCCCTCCCTCCCTTCCCTTTCCCTTTCCCTTCCCCTTCCTATCCCTTCCCTTCCTTCCCTTCCTTCCCTCCCCTTTCCTTCCCTTCCCTTTCTTCTCCTCTGCTCTCCCCTTCCCTCCCTCTCTCCCCTTCCCTTTCCCTTTCCCTTTCCCTTTCCCTTTCCTTTCCTATCCCTTCCCTTCCTTTCCCTTCCCTTGCTTCTCCTCTCCTCTCCTCTCCTCTCCCCTTCCCTCCCTCCCTCCCTTCCCTTTTCCTTTCCTTTCCTTCCCTTTTCCTTTCCTTTCCTTTCCTCTCCTCTCCTCTCCTCTCCCCTTCCCTCCCTCCCTCCCTTCCCTTTTCCTTTCCTTTCCTTCCCTTTTCCTTTCCTTTCCTTTCCTTTCCTTTCCTTTCCTTTCCTCTCCTCTCCTCTCCTCTTCCCTCCCCTCCCTCCCCTCCCCTCCCTCCCTCCCTCCCTTCTTTCCTTCCTTCCGGAGAGGAATGTACCCTTTGAAGAAATGTATAAGATAGCTATTAGTTCAAATGACAAGCTTTCAGCTTGCTGACTGGTGCCTGTGTCAGCACAAACAATTGTCCACAAAGAAGTGTACTTGTCTTCAGTTAAATTATATAATTGCCTGTTAGGCGGAAATGGTTAAAGGAATAGGAGATAATGGTGAAATGGGCCCTGTTGTTTAAAACCAGTTTTGTTTCCTCTCCTCTTTTCCCTAAAAAGATTCCGAATATTGCATTTTTTAGATGGGACAGCTGGACTGAACTGAGGGAGGGGCATCAGATTGCCTATGCTGGAAGGCATGGTGCGGGTATTGGGGTGGAGAAAGGTAGGAAAGTGTTGGGGGTTGGGAGACTCGTGTGTGTCATACAGCCTTCCAGTAGCTGGTAGATCTTGGCTATATTGTCACCTGCTTCAGAATAAAATTCAGCCACAAGTGCTGTCAGCTTTGCATATGGAACTGGAGAGGGTGGTATATAATCCATCATTTCAGGCAGCATCTTCTTTTGTGCCAGCTCCGGATTGAGGCGGTTTGGACCACTGCTGTTTTTTTCCTCCTTGTGCGTCATTTGGCATGGCTGCCTCCTGTGCCACCTGGACCACAGAATCCTTGGTGACACAGCGGGGGGGGGGATTTGGGATGCATTTTCACTTAAGTACAAGAATGTTCAGTTTTGAAAGCAGCTAAAAATGTCAACTGATCCTCGGATCTGGCTCTCGTGCTGGAAAACATCATTTATCCTAATGGTTCATTATGGTTGTATGATAGACAATATATGAACAATACTCTAAATGGCCCCTGTCAAAGTCCAACCCCAACCCATTTGGTTTATTTATTGGATTTATATCTCGCCTCTCTATCAGTTTATCGATCAAGGAGACGAGAAAAACAGGGAAATGAGAGAGGGATCTTCCTCCCTCCCTCCCTCCCTCTCCCTATGTTGCTCTCTTAGACTTTGGCTTAGCCTAAGCTGGCAAATTTCCAAACTTTCCAGGAAGCAAGATTTTCAGAGGTTTTGGAGAAGAGATGCAAAATTGAAGATAGAGAAATGAAACAGGATTCTGGATAAAGAGGGTGCAAGTATCTTTACGGGGTAGGGATAGGGATGAGGGTGAAATCAGCGGGAAGGCAGATTATTTTGCTGACATCTTTTTGTCTACTTTTACCCAATTTTAAGCTGCATTTTTGTTAGTTAGTGTCTAGTGGCTGTTAATGCCAAGGATAGCAAATCCGAGCTGCAAAAACATGGATAAACAGACTTCTTTAAATTACTAGGGATTGCCCTGATTTTTGTAGTTCAGGTGCGAGAGCCTTTGTTAGAAATGGAGACAGCTAAGAAGGGAGGAGTGATGGCAGATTGCCCAAGCGACAGAGTCTGGCAGATTATATTGAGGGAGAATTTGATGATTTTAAAATCTCTGCAATATTGTCTGTCATCTGGCAAGAAGTGATGGAGGGCACTGACTTATCAAAGGAGTGAATCTCTCTCTCTCTCTTTTTTTTTTTCTCACATTCAGCATATAGACTTTTGCAGTGTCCTGCAAAATTTGGAGTATTAAATAAACAGGACAAGTCCTTTGTAGGCTAATCTGGGCAATATTACTCATGTCAAGCTTTGGGCTGATCCTAAGCTGAAAAATAACTAACCCCTTCCTTTGTAAGTCAACAATCCATTTTGAGCATACATTTTCGTTTACCTTTATCCCTCGCGTGTTACTCCATACACTTTCTCCTATTTGTGCTAGCTCATTCTTGGAGTAGATGGAGTTACTTTATGGGTGCTCTGTCTTTTTTTCTCTCCTTTGCAGTCTTGGGGACCAGTTCTACAAAGAAGCCATAGAGCACTGCCGCAGTTACAATTCCCGTCTCTGTGCTGAGCGTAGTGTTCGTCTTCCATTCCTGGACTCGCAGACTGGTGTTGCTCAGAATAACTGTTACATATGGATGGAAAAGAGACATCGAGGACCAGGTACAAATATGACCTGTGGGAAGCCATGTGGGCTTCCTTTACTAGGAATGTTAAAAGTTCTGAGCAGCCACTTTTTGAAGAACCAGCCTAAAATGGCTGACTTGGTAGCCACAGAATATGAGAAAGTCTCGATTATTCTCCCAGTTTGCATTCTGTGCCAGCATACAGCCAAATTTTGTCCTATCCCCAATTTATATCACTCCAACTTGTTTATTTCTATGCAACGAAAAAGCAGTACTTAACAGAATTGACAATTCATTAAAACATTTATTGAACAAACCCATATTTATCAGACCTTGGAGGCAATGAACAAATTTTAACTCTGGACATCTTCCCAAATCACATACAATCTTGCTGCATCAGAGGTAGTCTGGATGAAACAGTTCAGTTTATTTTCATTTATTTTAATGAGCAATTCATATTGTCGGTGTAGTGATGTCATTACACCAACAATTTACATGATTTTATGTAATGACATCTTTACATCAACATTATAAATTGATGAAAGGGATATTTTCATATTTAACAGGCGTTCAGATATAATGGACACCTTCCGTCATTTAGTTCCTTAAATCAAAAGTTTAACTGTATTAAACAGAGCTGAGGAAAATACTTTTGAGACACCTGAAAATAGCATACATTATTTTCCAAAAGAAAAATCCACAAATGACCACTACATCCACTAATTCACAAAGCCACTATTTTGAAAGACATTCAGTTTGAGAAAGAGCTTGACTTGCAACTATAATATAAAAGTAAAGTGATGTATTATATGGAATTCTGTGGTTTCCTCCTTCTGGTGTGTGTGTGTGTGTGTGTGTGTGTGTGTGTGTGTGTGTGTGTGTAAGCAATGTAAGCTGTTTCTGACTGGGAGACAATGAGATACAACTTCCCCCCTCTATTTTAAAAAGAAATTGTAATATGGCCTTTTCTGCATAGCTTTTTAATTGCTGAAAGAAGCATCCAGTGAAGACACAGAGGTCTTGGTTTAATTGGTTACCTGAATAGATAATTAAAAAAAACTTGTAGTAGGTGATTTTGAACGGAAGAATATGAAATTAAACAATATTTGTCTACAGGCATTTCTTCCATTGCATAAGAAAATTAAGAAATGTACACAGAGAAGAAGGAAGATAGTTGCAAAGAAAATTACAGATTTCAGTTGTTCAGAGGGTCATTTCAGTGTTCAGAATCACTCTAGATCAGGTGTTTCCAACCTTTTGGCTTACTTGACTGAAGAGGATGTTTCTTGGCCCACTTATAAAATATATAATATATTTCATGTATATAAATAAAAGCTCCCTTTATTTTATATTTTTTATTATGATCTTGTGGTGACACATTACTAGCTAACCAGGGCTGCATGTGACCACGGGTCATGAGATGGAGATACCTGTTGTAGATGAAAAATTCTGCCATTGTACTCCCAATATGGGATCGAAGTAGGGAGAGCAATATAGAAAGAGAACAACAGTCAGTCAAATGCATGACACTATTATGGTCAATTGATAAACAGTTATGCCAAACCTTCTACTTTCTCTGATTGAAGATTAAATGTGGTCACTTCAGGATGTGTAAAAATTAGTTTTAGTCAAAATGGCCCCTGGATTCTTGTTGCACGAAATTCCAAAATTAAATTGATAATCACTATTTCCTCCATAATCTTATACAGAATGTAAAAAATGATACTTAACTGATAAATCTTGAAGGTTAGTTACTGATACATACTGAAAGAAACATTGCACGATTTTCTCTTTATTCTCAAGATTATGATAAATGTGGGATCAAATCAGTTGTTACCATTTTTTTTGGTACAGCATGAGTTCCTTTTCTCATTACTGTTGAGATGTAACCATGGACAGCTTGGGTTACCAAGGCTCATTTCCCAGCTGAGCAGTCCAGTTGATGAGGAACAATTGACACTGTGTGTGTGGGCACATGAAAAAGCAGAATGTTGGAATAATAGCTCCATTCTTTAGTCAAGTATTATGAGGCATTTATTATCCTCCTTTTTTCATTTGCTGAGTTCTCTTTTAGAGAACTATTATGGAACATTTTTAATATTTTTCTTCATTTATTTGTTTTTTCTGTTGAACATTATGCTTTTGCTTATCGAATCTAGAAAGCTTAATTCTGCAGTTATGACCTAACAATGCTAACCTAGTGGTGCCAAATCACAAATCCTTGTGAGTCAGAGTGAGCCTCTGGATTACAATCTGAAGAAAGCTAGGAAGGACCTTGAGAACAGGACTGAAGAATAAGTCAGTAAATTATTGGAAATAAAGGAATGATATTCAATCTGTGATTGTTCTCCTAAATTTTACAGAAAAAATGTTGGCATGTGGGGGAGTTTAAAAAAATCAGTTTTAGGAGCTCCCTAAAATAATGATAGGTACATAAATCTTTTGCTTCTGCTACTTCATTTGAGGATCCCTTCCATTTTTTTTTCTTACAAAACAATATCTAGGACTTATTGACAATTCTTATTGTAAGGGTTGATATATGTGCTCAAAGACATGGGTCTTTCCTGTAAAATTTCAACTTCCCTGATAAGTCACTGAATGATTAGAATCATGGTTTAGGGCTCCGAGGCTTAGGTTCTAACCTAGTCTTATCCTGAGTTGTTGAATATTTTCTAATTACAGATGATCATCTTTTACATACCTGCATACGTCAAATAGATTGGGTTTAGCCCTTTAAAAAACACACATATAAATAGCATTGACAAATTTGCAATGCTAAATTAAATAAATGCAGCAAAATTAAATAAATTGATAGTTTTAACTTTTTAGTTGTGTCCAACTCTTGATAACTTTATAGGTGAGTGCTCTTCATGCTGGTATGTCAAGCACAGCTTCTTTCAGTGATTGAATTTCATCTTTGAATCAGATAAGATGGTATCAAGCCAGTGAGTTCTTTGCTAGCCCTTTTTTCTTGATCCACTAACCATTCCGAGCATCACTGACTTCTCCAATGAATTTGCATGCATGACTTGGCCAAAGTAAATCAGATGTAGTCTTGTGATTTTGGCTTCCAGTGCTGTTTCTGGTTTTATCTGATTCAGCACCTCTCTTTTGGTTGTTCTGGCTGTCCATGGTATACTGAATAATTTACACAGCATCACAGTTCAAAGGTGTTAATTCTTCTTCGATCAGCAGTTCTTACTGTACAACTTTCATATCCATACATCATTATAGGGAAAACTATTGCTTTAAGTAGCCTGCTTTTTGTACTTATATCAGTATTTTTGCTTTTCTATATCTTATTCATGTTAACCATTGCAGTGCAGTCTAAGATTAGCCTGCATTTGATTTCAGGTGTAAAATTGCCATTGTGAACAATTTTTGATCCAAGGAAGATAAAGTCTCAAACTATTTCAATTTCCTCTTTCTTGATTTTAAACATCTCATCTGCACCTGTTGTCATTATCTTTCTTTTCCTGAAGTTAAGACTCAATCCTGCTTTTTCACTTTCATGCTTGATTTTCCAGATCATTTTTTCCAGGTCTTCTTTATTTTCAGTCAATAATGTTGCATCGTCTGCGTACCCAGGGGTGGGATTCAAATATTTCAACAACCGGTTCTGTGGGTGTGGCTTAGTTGGTGGACATGGCTTGGTGGTCATGTTATTGGCTGGATGTGGCCAACTCAATATCACTCACATCGAGGCACACATCTCCTCGCCTGGCCTCTCATGACTGTGGGGATGCTGCAACAGTCGTAAGTGTGAAAAATGGTCATAAGTCACTTTTTTCAGTGCCATTGTAACTTTGAATGGTCACTCCACACAACCAAAGTACTAGCAAAGGAGGGAAAAATAACTCCAGAGACGTTCCTGAGACAGGAAGTCTAGTCCTGCCAAGAATGTAATAAGGGTTAATGGAGAGGCAGTTTCTGTAAGCAACACCAGAATGTTTCCTTCCTGCCTTCCTTACAGGATTAGGCCAGTAATTTCTTCTAACACCGGCTCTCCGAACTGCTTAGAATGTTAACAACCGGTTCTAGCAAATAGGTGCGAACTGGTAGAATCCCACCCCTGTGCGTACCTCAGGTTATTTATGATTCTTCCTCCAATGTTCACTTCCAAATCAGGCAATTCTAGATCTAATTTCCGCATGATTACCTTAGCACACATGTCCCAAAGGTCCTTTTTCAAGAGGCAACTGGACTTTCTTGTTTTTCTTTGAACACATTTAGCTTCTCATCCAAGAAGCTTCTTTAACTCTGACCAGAAAGTCCAGTTGCCTCTTAAATAACCATGACTTGGATGACTGAGAATCTCCATGGACCTCATCATACAGATTGAACAAAAATGGTGATAAAATATATCCCTGTCTGACTTCACTTACTGATCCTGAACTTCACTTACTGATCCTGATCCTGTTTCTGCATAGAGTGTTCTCACTATTGCCTGCCTTAGTTGGGACACCAAGATCACACAAAGCCATCCATAGCTTATTGTGTTCTATATAGTCAAAAGCTTTTCTGTAATAGATAAAACACTTATATAGACCCTTTTGATATTTGTGTGCCTTTTCCATAATCCATTGGCAAAGTGATCTCGAGTACTACACCCCTTTCTAAAGCCAGCTTGTACATAAGAAAATTCTTGATCAATTTCTTACAAAGTAGTTCACCATTACTTTCCCTAAACCTTCCCATTTATCCAGGCTTGGGATGATGATGAATCAACCATATGGCTGGGTTAACAAATTAATAAAAATATATAAATTGACACTGATGTATTTGTCCCTAATTCCCTTTCTCTTTGACTTATGTGCAATTCATGGCACTACTGCTTATTTACAGTAAGAAGCAAAACCAACTTTTATTTTTAAATCATCCCTCTATTTTGCACTAATCTGATTCCTCAGATAAAGGCTGTATTTCATGGTGAACAGTTCAGGGTTAATCTTAAACAAGTCCTTCTCTCTCTTTGTCTTCCTCTCTCCCTGTAGCTTTTTCACTAGCTTTGAGTTATGGCTCTTCCACACTAATGAG